GCTTTAATCATCTTTTTGGTAACTTCATGACTTAACTGAAACGACATTGCATGCACGTAGTTTATTTCGACCTTTGATATGAAAGGATACAGGCTACAGTGCGCGCCAGCACCTTTGTGCGTGCAACTGAAGAGCACGTGCTGTGAGCACAGTACCGTTTCCGTGTTCGTTTTGACTCGCGCCTGGTGCTGAAGTGAAGTGGAGCGCGTGTCTGAAACGTGTCCCATTCTCAGCCGTTCTGCGACTGAATAAATGCACTTCTTGTCAAGAGAAAAAGTGACAGAAGCAGCAGTTGTGAGTGGGGTGGCCAACCCTAGCCCCGCCCCTGAGTTAATTGCGTAAAATAATTTTAATGCGTTAAACTGAAAAAATGAATCGCCTGCGTTAACGCGCAAATTTTGACACCACTAATATAAATATATTTAATACACAAACATAAAATTTTTCTGAAATATATACATGCATGTGTGCATTTATATGTAAATAATAAATATACACAGTACACACACATATTATGTAAACAAAAACTTTTATTTTGGATGTGATTAATCGCGATTAATCGTTCGACAGCACTAGCAATTTATTAACAATCATTATGCATTCTATAATTGTTCAATGCTCACCCTGTGTTGCAGAATGGCTTCCAGAGCTCTGAACTCAAAGGGCAAAGAGTAAGTAGCCAAATTTCCATCTCCCGCCAGCTGTGGCCCAAGTTCTAACACCAGCCATTTCTCCAGACCGAGACCACGGAAATCCAGCACCAGTAAACACTGTGGCGTCACCACAGCCTTGAGGGACTTCACAAAAAAAAAAAAAATCATAAAACAAATCAATAAATAAACTTTGAAACAAAACCTTTAATAGGAAAATGTATTCAACTTCCAAATGCAAATGAGTATTAAGTACAACACAAAGATGAACTATGTTTATGAAACAATCTATAACGTGTCCATACCTCCATGCGTATGATGATGGCATTGTTCCTTGATGTAATACTTGTTAAGTGCTGGAATCTCAGATCTCTCGCCTGCAAACCAAGCTCCTGATACAACTCAGTCTTCTTCTTTTCTAAAACAAATGAACAAAAAAAACACCATAAGACCCAGATCCATCAATAAAAATCCAACAAAGTACATTTTCGTCATTAAATACATTGTCTTTTTTTATCTCTCTGTTGATCAAATCGGATCAAAACAGACGACTGATATATAAAATTAATTTTAAAAACACATTATTTACATACTGTACTTAAAGACTGAACAAACTGAAACAGTTTTGTTTTTCCCAAATTGCCTACATTTCTCCCAAAAGCAAATCCAAAATGTATAATTGGCAAAGTAGAGGAATTACATATTATTAAATTTTATTGAGAAATTCTTTACTAATTAACTTTTTTTTAAAGAATAATACCTCCTCTTTTTTATAATAAGCATTAAGGGCTTTTAAAGCAACATTTCTGGTAGAAGTGTTGGTACATTTAGCAGTTTATTGTTAGTGAATACAGTATTTTCCATGCAGAATATAAAAGATCACAACTCCATAATCTTCTTTCGGTGTGTGTGTGTGTGTGTGTGTGTGTGTGTGTGTAAGACAACCACATCTTTCCGAGATAGCTTAAGTTAGAAATAAGTATCATTTCTTGAGTCAAATTAAAAGGAAATAAAACTAACGCACCTAAACGCTTAACATGCAGTAAACTCACCAAATGTGGTCACATTCCCATCAGGCTCATATTTCATCTGTTGAATGAGAATAGTAAAGGTGAGTCAGGGACTTTATTGTAGACACAAACTGTATTTTGTAAACAAAAGGTTGTACAAGATGTAAGTGTTTGTCTTACCACAACAAACACTGGAGCAACAACAGACAGGGCTGCTTGGGATGCGTCTGTGCCTCTTTGGCGACAGGAGAGGTCTGGCAATAGAAACAAATGTGTTATGTGTGTTGTTTGAGCAGCCGAGCCATAAACTAACACAGTGCAGCACCTACAGTGTCCCTGAGCTCTCGGCAGCACTGTGCTGTGATGTGAGCGTCCACATGTTGAAGTAAGAGGGCGTCTGAAAGGTGATCTTGAGCTCTTCACACTTCTCCATGTCCAGCATTTCTTCGACACTTTCCTGAGACTCTCTCGACAGACAAACCTCAAACATGGCTCCATACTTGAAAACACTTGAGTTAAAAGTCCATTTTACCTCCAGGACACCTCGGTGAGGATACCGAGCACAACCTGCATAAACACTAACTTAGTTGTCAAAACGACACACTTACTTTGGTCTTGCGAAAACTGAGTGGAAACCCGTTTATGACCCTTTTAGTGAGTTATAGCAAAGCACATAACGTTACCACAGCTCCGAAAGAACGAAACGTCCGGGTTTGATGTCTTTAGCTGTGTCGCGCTAACTCACACACACACGCACGTTTCACTGTTAGTTCGTTATGTCTTCGGGATACGAACACCACACATGATAAATGCAGTAATAACACACTCCATCACATAAGTCAGCGTGTAGCTGACTGTAACCACAGCGGCTGAACGAACGGCATGTTTTCGGAAACTGTTGATGACGTGAGGCACGCATCCAGCACGCGCTCGCTGTCTCTCCAATGGTTGGCTGTGACGTTACTGAGCGGCTTGACGCCGTTAAAGGTGGGGTAAGCGATTTCTGGTAGCCAATGTTGATATTTGAAATCACCAAAACAAACACGCCCCTACCCCAAACGGGTCTTGCCCCTATTTTGATAGCTCCGCCCCACATATACGTACGCAACCCAGGCAACGATTAGTTCTGTGAAACAAAGCAAAACCAATGTTACACCGTGTCTACATTGGACGCTAGCGGCGCGGCGCAACAAATCCCGACAGAAAACTGCTGCCGGGTTCTATTTATGATGTGCTGACACAAATTTCAAATGGTTTTCAACGGCTGGTGTAGGCAGACTTTTGCTGTTGTAGACACGGTGTTACTCACCTATTGAGAAGAAACAAAGCAACCTCCTTGAGTTCTCTCCAGCGCTGGAAAGCTGATCCGATATTTACACGGGTCCTACTTCTTGCCTTATCGTTCCGCAGACGTTTTCCTCTTTTGTTTTTTATCCGCCATCTCTATCTTTCTGTCGCTCGGCTCGGCTAATGTCCGTCCCGTGCACTGAACGCTCTCTCCTCCACATCACGAGTAGACACGCCCCTTATTGCTGATTGGCTACAAGTTTGTTTTGCTATTCGGCCCAAATCTGTTTTCTAAAGTGTTTTTGAAAAATCACATACCCTGCCTTTAATGCGGCACGCTTTTGGATGCCATTCCTAATGGAGAAATAACTCTTCTCAGAGACTCAGCTAGATCCCAGATGTCTTTGTCAGTTGCTCATCCTTTTGATACAATGATTGGGAATATTAGCTTTTTATCTAACTCTTCTGGTCGGAACAGGAGAATTAGACACAGCTATTTCAGAATGAGACTGCTTCTCTCCCGTGCATTGTGTCCTACTGGAATGGCCAGTTTATCAACATTCCATGGAAGAAAGTGTGGACTTTGTCGTCGAAATATTGAATAACCAATAAGGTCAAGGATGTGTCCTACAAATTACTTCATCTTTTTTATCCTGTAAAGCTTTACTTAAAAAGAATATTTCCTGATATTGACTCTTTATGTTCTTTTTGTGGTGCAGAAGATGAATTTCTCATCTCTTCTGGGAATGCTCATATACACGAATGTTCTGGAGGGATTTCTGTATTTTTGTACGCACATTTTCATCACAAAGTTTTTCTTTGTAATACAAAGATGTTTTATTTGGTCAGCACAATTTTGATAAAGATGCAAAGGACCAATATTTCTTGATAAATTTGTTTATTTTTCTAGCGAAATTGTTCTTACATAAATGTAAATTTCAGGGCGCTAAGCCTTACTTTTTTATTTTTCATAAGGAACTTAAATCCTGTCTGGACACTCTCCTTACATCCAGCAACTCCAAAGCCCTTAAAACTGTCTCATTGTGTCATTAGTACGATATTTTCCTGATTTTGTAACCTGCATTTGTACTCTCAATTGAATGTACCCCTGGCATTGACGGTGTATGTTCTTAGCAATGCAAAAACAAATAATAAAAAAAAGAAACGGCACGCTTTAGCAAACTTCACTTGAAAATACATACATTAACAAAAACATTGATACCCTTTTTCAAAATCAACGTCATTCATTCATTCATTCTTCTACTGTTGAAATTCCTCCATACCCGTAACCCTGAAATTGAAATAAATTAATAAATTAATATTTATTTATTAATGATTTGTTTATATATTTAAACATTTATTTAATTATTTAATTTGAATATGGATGCATGAATGCATACATATATAAATAAATACATACATATTTATACATTCCATCATTTATTTAATTATTTAATTTTGAGTAATTTTTGGCCCTCCAAAAACTTCTGTTGTTAAATATGTTGTCATAATTCTTGTACTTTTGTTGGTAAAGACAACTCTGACTCGTTTAATTTTGTTTGTAATAATGTACACTATTTTTGGAGCAGAATCTTTCATGCTATATTTTGTTAATAGCTATTTATTTAATTGTTTCCTTATTATATTATATTATATTACAACCTTCATTTGGTTTCTACTAGTGTACTCGAGAAATCTTTAAAAAGCTGCATGTGCATTTCAATTGACATGTTTTACTTTCAAATGTAATATATATGACCTTTAATATGATCTTTATAAAAGTATTATTTTAAATATAACATATATAGTTACTTGTGAATCTTGCTTGTGTATTAATTGATATTTGGCCATTTTGGGGGAGAGGGGGGAAAAAATCTGCGTCATTTGTAAATAAATAAACAAATAAATAAATAAATACTGAGTCGTCATTTTTGACATTACCACTGTAGATCATAGCGATGCTGCTTATGAGCATGAAAAGTCACAAGCGCAGATTGTCATTGCGGCCGCAGGGTGGCGCTCGCCGCCTACATCCCTCTCCAACCTGCACACAGATACAGTATTCTGCTCGTACATCTGATCGTACGGTTGCATATTCGAGAAAGTAGATGTAAATTATTATCTCCGCTCTAGTCTTTGTGCTCTGAAGGTTGTAGGCCTCCCTTCATCCACTGAAACACCACCTCGCTGCTGCACTGATGCGTTTACAGCGCCTGGAGTAAAGACACTGCATCGTTTCCCATCCGCGAGCGCACAATGAATGAATGAACGAGGCAAGTGATGCTGTGTGCTCTGCCAGCTCGGGGTAACGCATAACAGCTTTTGTTCTGTATTTGTCCGCTTGCAATAACGAACTTGGCGTGGCGTTAAGATGTTCCCGTCGTGCTACTCCAAGCCCAAAAATGGGTCTCAATTCAAGATGTCTTACACTAAAGTGATTTTTGGGGTGTTGGTGGTGTATGTCCTCCATACGTGCTGGGCCATGTACGGCTTCATTCACACCAAACCCTGTGACAGCGCTAAAGGGGACAGCTGCGTTGCATCTTACCTTACTGTCAAGCCTCGACTTCAGGTGAGAAGAGCTGATTTCATTTAACTGACTTTGTCAAATATATTGTCAGTAGCTGATTGCTTCAGAAGGTTACAGTTATTGCATGTCTCAACAGCTCAGTATCTATTCCGCTCTGGACCCCAGTGATGAAACTGGATACAGCCTGCTGTTCAAAGTGGACAGATTTGACATTAACACCAAGTTTGAAAGGCAAGCTGACATTTTGTGTGGGTCTGTGTGAAAAAAGAAGTACACTTTAGCATGATTTTATTATAAAAGAGTACTTATTACAGAAACAAATATAGGCTCTACTACTTTAAAAGAATGTAGGCTGCTTAATTGTTTTGAATGAATGTAATTAGCTGAACTTTAAAGTGCTTTTTGACTGACTTCGATTTTGGAATTAAGTACATCTTTTTAAATACATTTCATAATCATTTTGTATGTCTCATTAAAGTATGTTCTAAATGTACGTACACTATTTTTGGAGCAGAATCTTTCATGCTATATTTTGTTAATAGCTATTTATTTAATTGTTTCCTTATTATATTATATTATATTACAACCTTCATTTGGTTTCTACTAGTGTACTCGAGAAATCTTTAAAAAGCTGCATGTGCATTTCAATTGACATGTTTTACTTTCAAATGTAATATATATGACCTTTAATATGATCTTTATAAACGTATTATTTTAAATATAACATATATAGTTACTTGTGAATCTTGCTTGTGTATTAATTGATATTTGGCCATTTTGGGGGAGAGGGGGGAAAAATCTGCGTCATTTGTAAATAAATAAACAAATAAATAAATAAATACTGAGTCGTCATTTTTGACATTACCACTGTAGATCATAGCGATGCTGCTTATGAGCATGAAAAGTCACAAGCGCAGATTGTCATTGCGGCCGCAGGGTGGCGCTCGCCGCCTACATCCCTCTCCAACCTGCACACAGATACAGTATTCTGCTCGTACATCTGATCGTACGGTTGCATATTCGAGAAAGTAGATGTAAATTATTATCTCCGCTCTAGTCTTTGTGCTCTGAAGGTTGTAGGCCTCCCTTCATCCACTGAAACACCACCTCGCTGCTGCACTGATGCGTTTACAGCGCCTGGAGTAAAGACACTGCATCGTTTCCCATCCGCGAGCGCACAATGAATGAATGAACGAGGCAAGTGATGCTGTGTGCTCTGCCAGCTCGGGGTAACGCATAACAGCTTTTGTTCTGTATTTGTCCGCTTGCAATAACGAACTTGGCGTGGCGTTAAGATGTTCCCGTCGTGCTACTCCAAGCCCAAAAATGGGTCTCAATTCAAGATGTCTTACACTAAAGTGATTTTTGGGGTGTTGGTGGTGTATGTCCTCCATACGTGCTGGGCCATGTACGGCTTCATTCACACCAAACCCTGTGACAGCGCTAAAGGGGACAGCTGCGTTGCATCTTACCTTACTGTCAAGCCTCGACTTCAGGTGAGAAGAGCTGATTTCATTTAACTGACTTTGTCAAATATATTGTCAGTAGCTGATTGCTTCAGAAGGTTACAGTTATTGCATGTCTCAACAGCTCAGTATCTATTCCGCTCTGGACCCCAGTGATGAAACTGGATACAGCCTGCTGTTCAAAGTGGACAGATTTGACATTAACACCAAGTTTGAAAGGCAAGCTGACATTTTGTGTGGGTCTGTGTGAAAAAAGAAGTACACTTTAGCATGATTTTATTATAAAAGAGTACTTATTACAGAAACAAATATAGGCTCTACTACTTTAAAAGAATGTAGGCTGCTTAATTGTTTTGAATGAATGTAATTAGCTGAACTTTAAAGTGCTTTTTGACTGACTTCGATTTTGGAATTAAGTACATCTTTTTAAATACATTTCATAATCATTTTGTATGTCTCATTAAAGTATGTTCTAAATGTACTGACAAGCATTTATGTTAACATAAAATATACTTTAGTGCCATTTCTATTGAAACTTGTGGATTTAAATATACAGTGGACATATTTGTAGTGATGTTGCAATTTAGTACATTTAAAATATATTACATAGGCTATATTTGCATGTGCTTTAGTATTTCCGTCAACACATCTATAAGTGTACTTCTATAAGTTACATCAAAAGATTATTAAAACAATGATCTAAGATGTACTTTAAAATCAACTTATGACATTATTGTAAAGTGCACTTTTTAAAAGTGTACTTAAGTGTGTTGAGAAACAGCCATATATTCTTTAAGTATACTTAAACTTTTATGTCACAATTCTATACTATATGCAGGTACAGTTTTTTTTAAATATGCTTTAAGTGCACATTCAGTACAAAAAAGCACACTTTTTCACAAGTTTAGATTTGTTGCATGAGCAAGTTTAAACCGTGTAGCATTAAATAAAGTAGGTATGCTATTTTTAAACTGCTGTAGTTGTTCTGCTGTTGGTGAGAAGAACATTCCTACATTGTATAATAATTTAATGACGTTCAGAATAAGTGTTGCTTAAGGGACGACTTGTGTATCAAAGTAACATAAAATAGTTACCAAGTGATACCGTCACTATTGTCACCACAGGTTATTTTTAGGGCTATATGACAATCTCATTTACCATTTACATTTCACAGAAAGTACACTATAGCTCAGAAACATATAGTGAAAACTTACAAGATTGAAAAACATCCTTTAATGTGGTTTTGACCAATTTTATTGAATGCGAATACTGAAAGTGCAGTTTTGTTTTGTTGGGTTTTTCGTCAGATAGCATGCTTAATTCATCTAGTATACTGTGTTGTGATTAAAGGAAGGTGAGTGTCGCAGTTCCTGAGATGACCCATAACAATGGGACGGTCCATGCCGTAGTGTTTGTGCACAAGAGTGGAGTTTTGCCTTGGAAAGACAGTAGACATGTGCGGCTTGTGGCCCGTCTCACCTCTCAAATGGTCCCTCTTCAGTCTGGCAACCGTGAGGTATTGTGGCTGTTTATTAATGCCAGCAATCACTATCTTTATTGTATTCAGACAAGTTTAAAACACTTCAAATCTTCAGGAAAAAAATCAGTTTAGGTAAATTCTTGTGGCAGCTTATTGGTACTCTATTGCCCAAGTGATAATGGTCATTTTAGATGACCTTTCTGATGTATTTCATTATAAAACTACGGTGGTCGAGAAGTGCAAAGCAAATCACAATTCTGAAAACAAAATTACAAATTACAAATGCAAATGCAAGTCTAAAAAAACAAAATAACAATTCAGAAAGCACAACAACAATTCAGAAAACATTATTACAAGTCAGAAAACACAATGACAAATTCGAAAACAAAATAACAAGTCAGAAAAGACAACGACAAATCCAAAAACAAATTAACAAGTCAGAAAACACAACGACAAATCAGACAAACTGGAAGAGGTAGGTATAGTTTGAGACGGCGCCATTGGTTTGGGATTACTCACCGCTGACTGGACGAGACATCTGTCAATCAAAAAATACGGAGGGTCTATTTACATTTAGTTAAAAGTGGCTGTAAAACATCAGCTCAAGTGGCGCAGATGGATAAGCGGATGACGTTGGCTTTTTGACGCGATCGACCCGGGTTCGATCCCGCCTTTTGCCGAACTTTTTTTTTCTCCCTTTTCAAATCTCGTATCACATCGTAAAGGCATTTATTTTCAATAAAAATTAAGGAAATAACTCTTCAGTCTGGCAACCGTGAGGTATTGTGGCCGTTTATTAATGCCAGCAATCACTATCTTTATTGTATTCAGACAAGTTTAAAACACTTCAAATCTTTAGGAAAAAATCAGTTTAGGTAAATTCTTGTGGCAGCTTATTGGTACTCTATTGCCCAAGTGATAATGGTCATTTTAGATGACCTTTCTGATGTATTTCATTATAAAACTACGGTGGCCGAGAAGTGCAAAGCAAATCACAATTCTGAAAACAAAATTACAAATTACAAATGCAAATGCAAGTCTAAAAAAACAAAATAACAATTCAGAAAGCACAACAACAATTCAGAAAACATTATAACAAGTCAGAAAACACAATGACAAATTCGAAAACAAAATAACAAGTCAGAAAAGACAACGACAAATCCAAAAACAAATTAACAAGTCAGAAAACACAACGACAAATCAGACAAACTGGAAGAGGTAGGTATAGTTTGAGACGGCGCCATTGGTTTGGGATTACTCACCGCTGACTGGA